ACATTTGCAGGCATAACCAAATTTAAAAAAATAACTGTATCCTATAATGAAGTTTCAAACCCTGATTTCTCCAGATCATGCTACTGCTAATACGTTCATTTCAGTTTCTGCTCTTTTCCCATAGAAACTCCTTCACAATTACAATGCAAATGCAGGTTAGGTTAAGATCTTTCATTACATGATTGTCCAGAGAGCTCTGAAAATGAGAGTGATAATTTCAGCCTAGATCTTCTGACTACAAACAAAAAATCTAGTTGAAAAGGAAGAACATCTGTCTTAACCTTATGCTTTCGAGAAAGTTTTTTTAAAACAGAAATCTTCTGATGAAACTTTAAATGCATATCCTAAATATTATCCTTTGTAGACTGTTGGAGATCAAAAGAGAACAGACACACACACATGCGCCCACAAAAACAATCCAACTGCAGGTGGATCCGAGCTCTCATTTATGCCACATCATTTTATGATGCTCAAATTTAGTGGGAAAATGGCTGATTCTCAGTGGCACAGTGCAGCGGCTTTTCCCCAAATGCCTCCAGTTCTACTTCTAATTTCAACTGCTAGAAAACAAATCACCTTGGAACCAGTGGAAACCCACTGCAAAACATTGCATCCCAAAGAAGGCCAGTTCCAAAATTAAAGAGACCCAAGTAAATGCCATCTTCTGTCAGTGATTCCATTGGGAGCCACTGAACTTTTGCATCAAAATCTGCTATCATCCTTCTTTTCCAAACAACAACGTCTTTCTTGCAAAGAAACTTAAAAAGCTATGCTACTGAAACATCTCTACAAGGAAATACTCCTTAATTGAAGGAGAAAGAGAGAGAGAGAGAGAGAGAGAGAGAGAGAGACAGACAGACAGACAGACAGACAGACAGACAGACAGACAGACAGACAGACAGACAGACAGACATCATAACATCACTATTACCTTCCCACCGAAGTGGTGCCTATTTATCTACTTGTATTTGTATGCTTTCAAACTGCTAGGCTGGTAGAAGGTGGGGTGAGGATGGGAGCTCACCCTGGTGCATGGCACTCAGATATCAAACCTGGGCTACTGACTTTCCAACCGACAAGCCCAGCATCTTAACCACTGAGCCACCACACCTAGATGGATGGATGGATGGATAGAAGATAGATAGACAGATTAATGTTGTAAGCCTCCCAGAGTCTCCTTGCAGAGAGATGGGCATCAAACTAATAAATAATAAAAATAAATATTGCAGAAAATGTGTATGGTGTGTCTGTGTACATACACATGTATATGTCTAATATAGAATCTCATTGAACTAATTCTGACAATATATAAATTCAATAAATAACAATTACATACTTCATATACTTAAAAGGAATTATCATGTTGATGAGGAAACTGAGCTGAAAACCCTTTAACACTGAATCCATGAACAGGATGACACAGATCCAAAAGAGGTTGATTGCCCATTTATAGATATAGCTGCAATATTTCTTCAAATGGGCTAATCTAACCTGCCATTTGTTCAAGCTAAGACACTTAGACAATTTTATTTCCTTGGATGGAACAAAACAATGAAAACAAGATGAGAGTAAGGGTGGTGCCATGACCTTTGCACAGATTTTAGGAAGAAATGTTTGGCACAGCCTTTCAGGATTCTTGATTAATGGTTACCTTCAGTCAGGACGCTGACTTATCATTCTTAAAAGTAGATTTTAAGCAAGCAAGCATAACAGAAGTACTGTAAAGACAGACTTCAGCCAAATATTATCCAGAAGTCAGATCCCAGCAGTGCCATTTCCTTCCTATTTACCACCATTAACTTTATTGCCATTCAGTCTTGGAGTTTACTGGCATAGCAGTCAAATGGAACTACAGTTACTCTCATATGTATGTGTGTGAGAGAATATAAAGGCATTTATATATAGCATATCCATATACCTATGTATATAACTCTTCACAGGGTTCAAACAATCTCCAGTACCACCCCAAGAAAGAGAGGTTCTAGGTGACAAACAGGCTGAAGACTTAAGATGCAGTTGAAGAGGTGGCAAAGCCTACCTCTCAACTCCCCATAGTGTTACCAGGAAAAGAGAACATTTGCTCCTTATCTACTTTCTCTTTTTTTACTTTCTCCACCCCCTCCCCAGTAAGATTGAGATCAGTCCCGCAGGGTGGGGTGCCTTCACTTCATCCCGGGATGTCCTGGTTTCTATCATCTGCAATATAGGCACAAACAAGATTTGATGGAACAATTAATCTCTTTGTACAAGCAAAATGCTCGTCATGCTTTGCTTTCTAGTACCACATGCTGAGAAAAAAACAAAGTGCAACAGGACTCCTTAGGGTTCAGCTCTAAACTTTGGTTTTGCGTTGGGGGTGAATCCAGGAACTAAATGATCAACCTTTAAAGTGGTCCCAGGTGTTGTGTCTAATCTGCAGCAATGGGCAAACAGACATGTTCTTCCCCAGAAAGCTTGGCCAGATTACTACAGAGAATAAAAGCACAATAACAAGCTTTTTCTAGGCTAGTTGGCAGCCCTACCTGGAATATGTTTTTTTTTTATCCCAGTGGGGAGTCATGATAGCTAGTGCAGCTCTGGGTTAAGAGAAAAGGTTTCCAAGCCAGAGGGTGCAAAGCTTTTAGGAGAGCTTGAATTTCTAGGGATTCTGGGGTAAGAAAATAATCCCACATTCAGTGATTGCAGGTCTCCTGTATTAAATGGATTCTGCATAACTGAACCAAGGTAGTGTCGTTATTGATTGAATTTATAATCATTTATGATTTATTGCTTAGCAGGGTTTGTTCTTTTGGGTTAGTAGAATTTGGAATGAGTTGTTTGAGCATGAAAACGAAAGATCCAATAGACTGCATGTACTCCCAGTGGCCCTTTTTTTTTTCCTTTGGGAAATAGCTTCTGTTACCTCTGCTACTATGAAAGCCCCTGTTTCAGCCCACTGTGTTCCCTAAATTTAAACCAATTGTGAAGCCCAACTGGAGCCAGCCAGGAGGAAGTCAGTGTGCTCTGAGCTTGCTTTGATTTTGCTGCTGTTGGCACTGAATTTGCTGCCACTCCCCATCAGGCAGTGATACAAGGACAAAGCATTAAATCAATGCCTTGAAAGAGGCAACTTCCAAGAAACTCAAGGAAGAGGTTCGTTTCAGACTTACATAGAATACTTTTGTTCATCCCCCCCCTCCTCTTTTGGCAAGAATTTGGGTCGAGAAATATAACACTTGAATGTAGTTTTATAGGCTTAGTGATAACATAAATATAAGTGCAATATGCAGAGCATGACTTTAGCAAGCATTATGTAATCCTAATACCTAATTTAAAGATTGATTAAGCACTGGCTATGAAATGCCATGCATGCTTAGAGAATCCTTATTCAATTAAAGGCTTATCACATATGGCTGCTACTACACTGTTAGATGCTAAACTAGTGATTTTAGCAACTGTGATTATTTTCATGGAATCCAAGAGGAAGTAAGGCCATAAAAGGACAACCCTACCATTCCCCCTCATTTACAAGGGTGTCTTTACTTCTAAAGCATGCTTCTGATACAGTTTCCGTACACAATGAAATATGCAACGGGAAGCAATTTGAAAATACTACACAATGTTTCTATTCTCTCTTTTTTCCCACTTGTAAACATTTATTTCATTCAACATTTTAGAGAAAATATATCCATTGCGAAAGAGAAAGAACAAAAGCAGGGATAAAAAGGTAGGATACAGAGGAGGAAACAAGGGATTTACAAATGCCATAAAGATTATACTTTTCCAGTATATTAATTGACTTTGAATAACTAAATATATGATGTGGTTTTAAAGGTCTGAAAATTGCTGTTAAGCGCTAAGGAAACCACAAATATTTTAAATACGGTCAACACAATATAAATCAGAAAATGAAATAAATAAAAAATGAATGATTTTTTTTCATGCTAAAAGTCTATTCTAATTTACAAGTTCTAAAAAATTAAAATATAGACTTTATGCCATCAAAGAAAACACAAACTCATGTACTGAACTGTAGTCTAGGAATGACATTCAATTTGAATGAAATTCTGTGTGGGGGGGTTTACTTTTGAGATGTGAACTTACAACGTTTACAGAAGAAAATGTACTAATAATAATTTATCTGTGCAGAAATAGTTATAGTATTATTTATCCTTCTTGATGTTCCATTAAAATCTGAATTTAAACCACTCCTCTGAGGGAAACTGTGCTGATTTCAGTCATGCATTTAGGGCAGAGGAAGTCATTGTAATAAGCCATTTTAAGCAGAATTCTGTGAAATGCAGCCTGCTGAAATCAATGGGACTTATTTCCAAGTAACGTTTGCTTCTAAGTGCCAGTTTAGCGCAGCAGCAGTTCCTACATTTCACTTAACTAAGAATAGCTTTGCCTTCACCCTTACAGAGAGACACCTTCAGGTTTATTAATACATATGAAGTTTTGTTTCAGACAATGTGGACTCCACCCTTAAAATCAGTAGAAACCGATTCAAGTAATATTTATACTTTCTTGGATTTGGGATTGAGAACCAATCCCAGCCAACCAAGAACTTGGGGAATGGAACGACCTTCTTTCCAATCTTGATAATAACCATACTCTTATTAGAGTGATTTGAGCTCATATTTATATAGATCTTCTTTACCCATCAGATCAGGATACGGCCTGCTGAATCTTTAACTGAAGATCTGTCTGGTTAGGAGAATGGAGAATGAACAGAAAAACTGATTTTATAAAGGCCACCAGTTCAAGCTTACATACCCCCCGCCCCAAGCATCTTATTCCAATGAAGCACTGGAAGAACAACATCTTCATTTCCCCAGAGACTCTGTCTTCTTGACACCAGTTGGCTGTCCTGCCAGCTTTTAAACTTGCAGCCAAGCCAGCCTTTCTCCCCGACTTCTCTCCATGCAGAGATATAAACTGCCAAGTGATAGCTTGTAAAGCAAGATTCCTGATTTGTATTCTCATTAGTGAATTACCGAATGAGAGATCAATCTTCTTACCTTGAACTGACAGACGCAAGTCACGGTATCACCAATCCTTAAGCACTCCCCGTCAAATTTGCAAGTATTGGTGTCACAGAGAAAGAGATCATTTTCTCTGTCATCATAACCTCAAACAGAAGAGAAAAATGCTGTCAGCTTCAGTCTGGCAAATGGACAGGAATAGGGCAACTGCTTTTTGAGGCACCTAGCACAACAATCCTTGTGGAAGAAGCACATTCTGTTTTCTCATACCCACTTTGTCTAGCATTCTTTTTTCCAAAGGAGTTTACTATCCTGGCATACTCACCTTGCTGCTGCCTCCTCACCTTTTTCTCTGTGGTGAGATTCTAATTTCTCAAAAAAAAAAAAATTGCTTGTAAAGCAACACATTTCCCGTTCCTCCTAACAGCTCTTCTGCCTCTAAGTCTAAAATGGGAATTTCTTCAATGCCCCTCTAGTAATAAAGATAAACCAGCTGCATAGTTTTTGTGATAGGCTGCTTGGTTCCAATGAAGACTGATCACCTCCTGGTTAAAAAGGAGGGAGGGGGCAGGTTTTGCAAAGAGCTTTCCAAAGAGCCTTTCCTCCAGTTCTGATAGGCAGGCTAGCAGATCTGACTAGAGAGTCAGCTCACAAATGCCTAGGCAGTTGTCAGACCTCAGCTAGCTGCCATCCTATTCTGAGGGTGTGTAGCAAGGGATTAAACAAAACAGCCACTTTCAAGCTCCGAATCTATGTCCTAAGGTCATAGAGCTCGGCTGTGTTTTAAAAAATGAAAACAGTACTGCTAGAGCAAAGGCAACATTGCTCCGAATGACTTGGATAGTGGAGACACAGCCTCCACCAAACTATGCCATTTCTGTAACGTATCTGAAGTAGTTTGAAGGATACTTTTAACATGACAGAACAGTACCAGGCTAAACCCTACAGATGCTGCAAAGGTGACTGAAATATGAAGCTTTGGGTTTGTTTGACTTAATTAAATGAAACCAATACAGATGAGGAAACTGCAGTGCTGACCAAATGATATATTCGGCAAGTATTGTCCCCACCTTCTCTCCCCACAGAGAGAAAAGATCTGCTTTTGCTTCAGGTTCAGACTTTTCACACTTTTATGGGGGAAGCAGAAGCTGCATTTTTCTAGTGGCTTGCCATTTTTTCTCACTGCATGCATAGATGCATAGTCGTAAAGGGGTCCTTACATAAGAAATATAGAGATTTTCACTGGAAGGGAAAATACTTCCAGAAACATTTGGAAGTCAAGCTCATGTGGGAAGCCCTGCACAGCTGGTGAGCCCATTCCAGACAGAAGAACGATTAACCTCTTGAGGATGAGCCCGATCATCGGAAAAGGCAACTGATGATGCGGAGAGGTAATAACTCTCTGGTGCTGCCTCTTCCTTATTCAGTTAGAGCATTTCAGTTGGAGGGTGCCTGGCAAACCACTTTGAGCAGGGATGAAACTGACCAGAGAAATCAGGCAAAGGAAGCCTGCTTAATAACAGCTTTCAGAAACAGTAGGCAGCTTTGGACCTGATTGTTAATACTTTTCTTTTCGGGAATAAAGTATTTCCTCCAATTTAACTCCTTTACAGAAAGCATCTCCCGTATAAAAGTTAAGAGAGAAAGAGGGTGTGAAGGAAAGAACTCGAAGTCTCCCCAAAGATCTAAAGATCCCCGGTGTATGCCCAAAGCAACAAGGCAGGTGGAAATGAGTTTTCTGGACTTGCTGGTTCCTGGTAAGCAGCCCAGACTTTCCTTTACAAAAGATCATCCCTTTTAAGTGGTGCTTTCTATCTCTTGCTTGCTTGCTCTAACTCTGAACAACGGCAAGCGCCCCAAGATTCATTTTACCAGATCCACCCTTTGCCGGCACGTAAGTCTGCGTTCAGACAGCCCAAGCCTAGCGAGCTCACCATCCAGTCAGTCTCGAACAGAGGCAATTCGAGGCGGGATGGAAGCAGCAAAAGCTCGTTACCTTGTCTCCCGGGTTCCCCTGGCATTTCCAAAAACAGCCCCCGGGGTGGGCCGTTTTTCAGAAGCGCCTCAAATCCCAACCCCTCGCCCGTCCGGGGAAAAAAAAAAAAAAAAGATGCCTCTGCTTGCAAAGGGAGGGACTCCATTTCTGTCCCAGGTTCCCGCCCAAGCTTACCGGAGCAATTCCAGCCGGTCGGCGTTTGGCAGTCACTTAAGGAGGTAGGGAAGGCTGCAAGTTTGTCCGGCCGGGCGACGATGAGCAGTGTCACCGGCAGAAGCAACCAGCAAAAGCAATCGCCAAGTGTCCAGCTGCTGCACTGGCGAACTGCGGAAGATTCCCACAACACCATGACTTCTGGAGTCAACTCTAGGGCGGCAGCGAGAGGGAAGCTCCCCAAAGCAGGTCGGTCTCGGACAGGCGGGCAGCAAGAGGCGTCGGGGGCGACTTAGCATCCCGGGGGCCCCAGCCAAGAGCAAGCGAGGAAGAAGCAGCAGTGGCAGCACCCAAGTACTAGCATGGTGAAGAAGAGCTCGAAGAGGATCCTGAGAGTTTCGGCAGAGATATCCAGTGGCCTAGCCCAGCCCGGGGAGTGGCAGGAGCAAGGGAGGCCGAGAAGGAGAAGGAGCGCCAGGAGGCTGGAGCAGCCGCTGCCATAAGGGGTCGGGCTGGGCTGGGCTGGGCTGGGCTGAGCTGGAGAAAAGAGCGTCAAGGCGCTTCGCAGCCAAGCCGCCGCCGCTGCCTCCTCTCCTGTTCTGCCGCCCGCATCCCTCTGGCGTTGGGAAAGCAGCAGGTCCTCTCAGCCCGCCGGGGTCACGTGGCGCAGGCAGCGCCGGCTCTGATTGGACGAGAGGAATGCAGGTCCCCGGGAAGGAGGGGGGGAGCGAGGCAGGGTGGTGGTGACGGCGGCGGCAGCGGCAGCAACAGAAGCAGCTGGAGCGAGAGATGCTGATGCCGATGCTGATGTTGGCTGGGCTGGGTCCTCGCTCTGTGAGCAGCACCGGGGAGCTCGGGGGCGGCAACACCCTACCCCGCCCTGTGAGCCGGTGGGGCTCAACCGGCAAGTGGCGGATGAGGGAGAGAAGCCGCTTCCTCCCCGGATGGATGAATTGATTCGCAGCCAAGACGTGGGCGTCGGAGATCTCGGACTGGGCGACGTCTTCTTCTTCTTCTTCTTCTTCTTCTTCCCGAAGAAAGCCCCTCGCTCTTCTCGTCCCCCGGCCGGGAAGAGCCGCCAGCTGGATCTACAGCGTGATGCTTCGGCGGCGCCCTCTCTGAAACCTCGCATCCTTCCCGGGCGAAGGCGCTTTCGCGGCGCGGCCTCCGCCCAGCCGCCCAAGCCCTCCCGTAGACGGAGCGTGCAGGCAACGCGCTCATTGAGCCCAGGTCCCAGCCAAGGCGCACCGCAGGCGTGTGAAAGTTGGAGGCGATCACTACGCATGTGCGAGCGCCGGAGGTCCGCGCGCGCGCCCGCCCGCCGCCGGTTTGTGTGTTTTTGTGTGTATGTATATGTGTGTGTATAAAATGGTGTGTGGTGCATGTCCGCGAAGAAGCAGCGGAGGTAACACTCTGTAAATGGGCCCGTACGCGTGGAGGGAGGGAGGGAGGGGGGGCGGGGGAAGAGTCGTGGAAGAACGAAGGGCCCACCGCACAATTCTTTGCTAGGTGTCTGCATTTTCCTCTCGCGCCGTCCGTCCGCGCCTGAAGGGGCCAGTCTTTCAACAGTCTACGCGGGTATGTTTCTCGTAAATGGCCAGGGCAGAAAACTGGGCTGCAGCGCGTTCCGCGGCTGGAAATGCCCAGCTGAAGCGCTTGGCCTCTTTCGCCTGAGGTTTGAAAGTTCGCGGTGACAACTGAAGGAGCGCCGTTGGCTTGTGGAGGGTTGTGGAAAGGGGAAGGGAAGAAAAAAGCAGTAAGATGGAGGAGTCGGAAGAGAAGCCAGAGGGAGCAACGACCAGCAGATTCATCTTCATCTCTCTCCCTCTGTCGAAGAACGGACTATCCGCCGCTGCGGGCGTGGAGCACTGCTGCAGGCACCTTCCGCGTCGATTCACCAAGAGGGGGGTCGCCGCTTCGTCCTCTCCGGTTCGGCTCCAGGGCTTGGAGCCACGCCCTGGGCAAGTCTCCCTCAAGTCGGCGACTCTCGGAGGAGAGGACTTAAGTCAGCACGCGGGCTCTCCCGGCTTTCCTTTCGCCGGGCCGGGCCGCACGTGGAGCTATGCAAGCCCAGCGCTCGATGTTTTGACTGTCAGCGCGTCTGTTGGCTGTAGGAACGAGCGTACATTTCTTTAGAAAAATCCGGGGAGAGGAAGGGGTAGTTTTGTTTTTGGCGGCTTTCCCCCCCCCCCTCTGGTCAAAAGCAGGGGAGGAAACCAAGCAGCGAAAAGAAGGCGTCAGCAAGAATGTCTTCCGTGCCTGGCGTGGCATTCATTTCCCTATTTGCCTCTCGCGCCTTTCCCCCCCCCTCCCCGGAACCGAGGGCGATGCGGGAGAGAGAAACGAAATGCGTTAATCGCCGCCGCCCGCACCTCGCTGACTAATTTTGTTTCTGCTTTAAAAGCTCGACGCGTTTGGCAGACGGCCCCCCAATGGCTCCCCGCAGGCAAATATTCTGCGAGCCCTTCGCCCCGCGCTGCTGCTTCGCTTCCCACCGAAGTCGCGCTTTCCTTTACCCTCCCGTTGCGCCCTTTCACGCGCCCGCCCCGTGGCAGGCGGGCGGAGAAAGCGCGGCCCTCCGGTCTGCGCTATGCAGCGGCCTCAGGCGTCTTGACTGCATTAGCGCGAGCGGGCGCGCGTGCTCACAGGGAAGCGACTGGGACGACAAGCGGCGATCAATTGGTCCTGAATGGCATCGAAGGAAGCGCCCGGCAGACGCAGCTGCATCAGGTCTTCGAAGGAGAAGAAAAATCCCCGTTAGAAAGACTGAGGGGGGGGGAGAGGGGGACAGCCCCGTTAGAAAGACTGAGGGGGGGGAGAGGGGGACAGCCGCCATGCAAGAAACAAACGAATTAAATAAGCTGTTTTCCTCCGCGCAGACACCCTCTCGCGTCCCCCGCGCGCCTTTAGATCAGAGCCGCTTCAGCCGAAGCAGTGGCGTCCGATTTGCTCGTTTGCGTGAACGGCGATTTAACAGCTCGGAACTTGCAGGCGAGCCAGAGTTCCTTCTTTCCAACCAGGCAGGTTGGCAGTTTATCAGGCTTTTGTAGGAGAAAGTGAAAAAAGCCACGCTTTCAAGGAAATGAAAGCAAAAGCCGCCAGCAAGCGTTTAGGCAGCAATTGCGGTGATCAAGTAAAAAAAAAAAAAAAAAAGCTGAACCTCGGGGGCACATTGCGAGGCGGGAAAAGGGGCGAGGCGGGAAAGAGGCAGAAATTAGCCTGCCCTTGTGTGCGCATTGACAGCTTTAAAAGCCATTCCAGTAAATTCGCAGTCCCCACACGCGGACTTGCTTAAAATCATCAGGCTGAGGTTTCTTTTTCTTTAATGCGTGCATTTGCATCCATTCGAATCGTTTTGGGGTTGTTGTTTTTTTTGCTTCCTCCGTATTGGACAGAGAAAGAATTGTTACGTTCTTTAACATTTGGGCCTTAGTCGCTCTTCCTCTCACTTTCTGTGGCTTCCCATACAGGGAGACTGCATTAATCCACCAAGGGGGCACACTTTAACACACAAAGCTCCACCATGTGGCAAGAGCGCATCAGTCACTGGATACTGTACTGAGTTGTAGAAATAGCAGTTGAATAAAAGAAATGGCTTCTCAGTGAATTCTGACAGTCAAAGGCTGCCAGCAAATGGAGAGAAAGTGGTGGTGGTGGTGGTGGAAATCACTCGGTGCTTTGAGAGGCAGCCTCTGTCAAACACATCTTCAGCAGCATGGATTTATTACTCTTGCCCATCCATACTTGCATGGGTAGAAATATGAAAGGCTCAAGAGCTAGAGAAGTGAAGACCCCCCCCCCCCCCGAGAGTTGGCTGGTCCTTCAAGATTAACCAGTATCAGTGCCACTGCATTAAAACATGGACCCCATTAAAGCATGTCACTTTCTCACTTTGTCAGCTGTATCAGGGAGGGAAGAGACAAGGGGAGGAGATTTGTCTTTGAGTGTTTTTTGATACACCCTGTTGCTCCAAATATGGGAGGAAGAAGTCTTTTGTCAATCTAGAGCCGTCCACAGGCAGCAGTCGCTACTTCGACATCATTTGTATTTCCTAAATTTTGGATTGCTAACAAAGAGTTAAGGGGGACTGGGATAGCTATTTCGAACTGATTAGCTCTCATCAGCCAGCCATACCCTTCTGAGATTGGAACCTGGGCTGCTTGCACTAGGCAGTTGTGTTGACCCCTAGGCCACAGGCTCTTTCTCACTTTGTCAGCTATATCAGGGAGGGAAGAGACAAGAGAAGGAGATTTTCAACCATTGGTTTTTAGCAAAATTAATTCTAATTTGGAGATAGGCAAACACTCCAGTGTTGCTAAGCAGAGCTAAACACAGCTTCTTAACCAGACCAAAGTAGTACCATAACAATGAGTACTATTCATACATGGGAGTAATCATAATCTCAAAAAGAAAGAAAAAAAACCTATCTAGCAGGGCATAATTTTTCAAGAGATAATAAGAGAAATCTAAGAAGATTTGTATAATAGCATATATAAGTGGCAGAATTCAGCTAATGTTGGCTGATCTCAGAAAAGCTTGTTGGTAACCAACTAAACAGGTTGATTATTACAAACTGGTTAGTACTTTGATGAGACCCCACTAAAAAAGGTCCCATGGGAAATAAGCTAAAGGGATATTTTTTTTTAAAAAAAAAACTTTTGAAGAAAGCAACAGCAAAATGCTTATGCCTTGTTGTGGAAGATTCAAAATCTGAATTCTAGCTTATTAGTTGACCCCAAAGTTGTATGCCAAGGCAAACAGCCCTTAGGAGCTCCCATCGGGCCCAGCCACATGGCCAATACTTGTCTTGCTGCTTGAATTTTTTAGCACAGTCCCCCAAACGATCACCCCAGGCCTTTGATGTAAGCTGTGACTTTTAAGGATAAAAGACATTAAAATTACCCAAATGCTTCCAGTCCTCTTTGATGTGTTGATAGAATAAGTCTGCTTTCTTTTTCTTTTACCACCTGGTTTAAGATGGTACTACTGCTGCTGCTGCTGCTGCTATTGCACCTTTTGAATATTCCCAAACCCATCTGGCATCTTGTGTAGCATGTGGGTGGTCAACTGGCAACTGGAGCTGCATCCACAGATACAACACCTCTTTGTCTGATTGGGCAGATTTTCTTGCTTCCCATATGAAATGAAAGGAGCCTCCAAAGCCTCACCCAGGCTTTTGTGTTGCCTTTTTATTTTGCCCTGTGAATGATAATTGCTAGGCTCCAGGCAATTTGTGCCCAAAG